CGCAAAGACCCGCTAAATAACGTGACACGTAATACGCTATTTTTGGTGGAAAGAAACTGCGCATGCGCAGCTGTCAAATCCTACGTTGGCGTTAACGTATTTTGTCTAACTTAAAGTGTCTATTATTATCCGGAAAAACAGAAATAATTACATAATTTTTGTTTTGTAATTTTATGTGATATTTTTGAAGTGCAACTTCTAGGCGGCGTTCTGATATTTGGACGACAATAATGGAGAGTGATTTGACAATTGACAAACGCGTCATGGGGAAATTTCGTTACTCGAGAGAGAAAAAAGATATAACGTAAAGAGACGGAGAAAGGCAGCTATTGATTGAGGGCGGGTATTATAAAACTACTTTGAAAGTTAACTTCAAGTTAACTTCTGAAATTACATGTAATTCAAAAAGTTAACTTCAAGTTAACTGTCAAAGCAGTTTTATAATACCCGCCCTTACACAAACAAACCAAGGACTATAAGCGCAAAGAGGATTGCCCATTAATGACAAGCGCCAATATTGACGCAAACCAAGGAATATAAGTGCAAAGAGGATTGCCTATTATTGACAAGCGCCGATACTATTGTGACATCACTATAAATCCGTATCTCTTTTTTGTTATACCCGGCGTTTTTATTCTCATCAAATTTTACCGATGGATCCACCATTCTATGGCCGTGATCGTCATTTTCCATTCACTAAACAAAGATAGCTAACTCATCGGTGAAGTCACCGATGAGAATAAAAACGAGGGAATACTATTATATGGGCCGTGTTCGTTTTTGTTATCTTTTTCGTCGATTTGCTCCGAATTTTTGACAGGCACGTGATTTCTATTTATAAATTGAAACTGTCTGATTGATATCCAGTCACGTGTCTGTCAAAATTTCGGAGCAAATCGACGAAAAAGATGATAAAAACGAACACGGCTATCATTTGGGTCTGTTTCCGCAGAAATCACAAACCAGTCAGAGCGTTATTTTGATTGGTCCAAATCGACAACAACCAGTTTCCTGACTATTTTCAACCAATGAAATTCGCTCTGACTGGTTTGTGATTTCTGTGGAAAGAGACCAATTACGTTTTGTGATTATTTTCGTTATTTATACTTTTGTGTGCTGTGATTTTTTTGATTACATCCGTGAACGGTCATTATGTAAGTATATTAAAATTATTAAAATATTATCAAAAATTATATTTAAGACAAAGAAAAACAGCCATTGATTGCCACAAATCAAGGATTACCTATAAGACGATCATTGCAAGCGCTGATACCCTGGTGACGTCACTACAGATGCGCATTTCCTTTCGTATATTAAAAAAATTGTTTTTCTAGTGTTTTTCTAGCGGAACAAAAAAATTCAATTCAAGAACAGAAATAAATAATTTGAGTATAATTTATTCATATTTATTATATCTAATCTAGACTACCATAATTTACATTGTGATAATAAATTATTACATGAAATTTATACTTAATATTTTATTAATGATAAAAAATATAAACAACAAGTCATAAACTCGAACCACGACCTAAGTATTTTGAAGTGAATACTTCTTTGGCCGCATGAGAGTGATTTTTCAAGGTCGCGTCATGACACGATTTATAAAATTTTCGTCTCGCAAGTGAGATGAAGCATATGATGAATATGAGGGAGAGAGAGAGAAAGAGATGGTGAATGAAAGAGAGTCTTGTTCTTAACGCATTAATGTAATATGTACAATACATCTCTCTCTCTCTCTCACTCACTCACTCACCCTCAACGAATCGATAAATAAGTATTCACTTCTATCACGTGTACTGTGGTGCGATTTTCGAAACCGTTCGAGTACATTTCGTACACGAAATTTGACTGACAACAATGTAAATTAAATGGGGAGTATCGGAAATCGTATCAAATTTCGTATGCGAGAATATTCGAAAATACGACCCCTGTGCTGCACGCGACTTTTTTTTTTTGTTAGAATTTATAATTATATAGGGTGTTTGGCGGAGGGCTAGCCAAACTTGGTGGGCGTATAGATAAGCCCATTTCGAAGATATTTTATTAATACACTTGTGCCCTTAAGTAACTTTTTTTTTTAATATGTTTATGAAAATGTTTGTTTCGTGTGTTTTTGGTCTGTAGGGTATCACGAAGAGTATCCTTGATCTAATAAAGTAATAAATTAGGCACAAATACTACCGAAATAATTAGCATTTTTATAAACAATAGAAAAAAGTTACAGAAGTCAAAAAGTCCATTTTTGAAAATTCTTCAGAATAATACAAAAGCAATGATATAAAAAAAACGGGGACCTTAAGGGTACAAGTGTATTTATAAAATATCTTCAAAGTGGGCCGATCTAAACGCCCACCAAGTTTAGCTAACTCTCCCGCCAAACACCCTGTATACCTATACCTATTACATAATATACTTTTTTTTACTACTAACCTGAGAAATAGTCATTATTCAATCTATTTTTCTGGGAAAAAATTGAATTTCTCTCCCTAGGTGAATAATGAAACTATTCAAATCACTATTTGAGATCATGACAAGTTCTCGCCACAAAATTTGGCTATGCCCTTTTGGATAAAATCATTACTGAATTATTCAGTGATGTCTGAATTCGCAAGTTATAAGTTTCTTGTAGTTTTTTACAAATTCGGCGCTTTATTTTTTTGTCAGTTGTTATAGAGATAAACTTTTTCGTAACTACTGTAGATACATAATTATAAATACACAGTTTCACTCTGCAAAACTGATAACTGCAATTTAGGGCGGGTATTATAAAACTACTTTGAGAGTTAACTTAAAGTTAACTTCTGGAATTACATGTAATTCAAAAAGTTAACTTTAAGTTAACTGTCAAAGTAGTTTTATAATACCCGCCCTTAAAGATATATGGCAAATTTAAATTTTACAGGAAACTCAATAGTTGTATTCCTTTCACACCTAGTAGGAGCTCCGGAACAGCTCCGGGGCTTTACGCGCTTATTCCTTTCAAAAAGTGTTTCTAGCATCTAGCGTTCAAGCCCGAATCAAACCATATGCATGAAAATCAGCGCATCTGTTCCTTTCAAATCGGGGTCGACTAACACCGGAGCGAGTAGCTCTAGTGTTTTAAACTCTTGAAAGGAATACAATTATAGCTATGTGCGCATGTGTGACAGAAAGGGTTAATTGAAAATGCAACGTTGCCGGATGCTTGTCAAGAAAAGCGACAAACGTCAAATTGTCTAAGCGATGTCAAAAAAGTGCGAATTTCGCAGTTATGAGTACTAGCTTTAAGAAGTAGGTATACGCACCGATTCAAGTGATCCAAAAATAAAAGTGCTATACATTCATGAATTTATTACGCCCTCAAAAAATAATGGTTTTTACTGTGTAATATTTTGTGATATAGCTTATTTGTTTTGGTTCGAAATTTGGAACGGTTCCGGGATTGCGCAGAACTGCTTGTGCACAAAAAAAAATAATGAAGGAGTTCTATTACTAGTTCTGAACCAAACAAAACACAAGCCGCAAATCACATATGGTTTGTTTGTTTGTGTCGCACTAACTTGAATTGAGCCCAAGATATTTCAGATATGTCGCGTCACCAGTTCAATTGATAACTGCTTAGAACAATAAATATTCTGACACAAACGAACGGAACTTTTTTATCACCTATGATTTTTAATTTGTGAGGTTGAGATTTTTATTATTTATATTCCGATTTTTTACTATTTTGTGGATTTCTGGATTTGATTTGTGGCAGATTTGGAAAATTATGGATTTTTTTTAAATGAATGACGATGTCGAAATCGAATTTGTTTTATCGAGAGTGCGTTCGAAATCACTCTGGGCGTCATACCGAGTGCACACGGTGAATAATTCATGGCTGGTGTGCACTCGGTGTCACGCCTAGGGCTATTTCGAACGCACTCCAAGTGATGACGTTAGTGGAGAAGACTGTGACGTGGCAGGCATTTTATTTATACAAAGGAATAATGGAGGTATCAGGAAACCGTCAAATTTAGCGCTTCAGACATTTAATTCTGGACTGCCTTATCTTACTCCTCCTCGAAAGCAAGTGCAGGTTGAACATGAACTAAACAGTTTGGTACAAACTGCACTCCACAAACGAACGCTCGTCAGTTCATTGCCCGTTTTGAATAATCCCAAACGCTGTCAACATAGTTCGATTACGATTCTGAGAAAACAAAAATGCTTTTTATAACATGCGCATGCGCAGAATGATTCTGAACCAGTTCTGAGTGAAACCAAACAAAAGCTAATGAATACGTCTCGCTGGTTTTAATTTATAGCTACCTTGCGTTCGGTATTTTGCTCAAAGTGTAGAGCGAGCTGAGCGGAGCCGTAATCACGTGACCAGCGAGCGAAGGGAGCAGTTGAACGCTGTATAAAAGTACCGGAAATTTTAATAAACGAACGCGAATGAGGCTGCACCGAGTACACTTTTTAAATAAACGAACGGTAAAGTCAAGCTCGGAGAACTCAGACCAAAATAACGAACGCACGGCTAGTTTCATTTTAAAAAAGGAGAAAATATGCTATGTATTTTTCACTTTTCTTTTAAAATTAACGCTACTGTCTTTTTTTTATTTGCCATTTAGAAAATACCAAGAATCGAAAATACCAATTCGAACCAAAGGATTATTTGATATTTCAGTCTAGTCGTAGAAATTAAACGTTAAAAGATAAGTGTTGACTCGTAATAACGTGACAACCCAGCCACAAAACTGTTTGACTTGATAATGGTTTTCACCGACACTCAAAATAATACATTTCCGACGAGCGACTGTATTATTTTTATACGATACACCAAGTTATCGAACGTAACCTAACAGTCCACGAGGGCGTAGACGCTAGGTCGTAATCAAATTAATTCGTATCTTGTCGCACCTATCCTATTTTACCTATCATGCTCATCACCTATCTCTGTTCACTGTGAATGTGTGGTAGACTGATGGAGTTGTTTAATGACTAATGTTTTGTGTTGCTGGTTCGTGCTGCTCCCTGTTTTGTGTCTTTGTAGTTGTAGTAGTGTGATTGTAGTCTAGTAGTTGTGTTGTATCAATCCTTATGATTATGAAGCCTGTTTGATCTATCGAAGTTATTTGGTAAGTTTTATCTTATCTATGTGTGTGATAAAATTAGCCACCCGAAATCCTCAGTGCGAGGGGTAATAAATGAATTTGTTCTGTTGTGTTTGCTACAACATAACAGTTAGAACTATGTTATGGTTTCAGTTTTTTATTCGATGGTCGTTAGCTATACCTGCATTTTCTTTCCTATTTATATTTTTGGTAATCTTTTAAATCTGGGAAAATGTGCCTACCTAGATACCAAAATGCGTAGATGTACACAGATTTTTGCTTCTTTTTGTTAAGAAAATATAGACAGACATGAAATAGGTGATCGGGATCGACATACAATTTATCAGTTTTGTAAAAGGGTCAATATAGGTATCATTTTGTAGAACATTATGTACCTACCATACTATAATAATAATAACTAAAGTAACCTCTTTGGTGATGTCATCTTATAATTTAGAATTTAAATTAGGATAGATCTATTTATATACCAGCCTTGAAAGAAATTTTGAAACTACTGAATATTTGTTGTCATATATATTTTTTTAAGATATCTACCTACTTTGTGTATATTATCTTTGTAAAATTTTATATTCCTAGGTATGTTTAAAGGAATCCCTTATTTGTTGCCTGTCAATATCTTTTTTGCCCACAAAAAATACATGAATGACCTTTATTTTTTGAGATCATTATCACCTCTCTTTTTCAAAGATTTTTCGGTGAAATGTGATAGATCTTTTATTGCCCACCCTCACCCCTAATTTTTATACAAGAATAAATTGTTAATAATACCTCGGTTCATACCTAATGGTAAATTGATTGATTGATGATTGCTTATCAACAATGAACTATAATAACTTGTCAATCCATTTACTATAAATAATGGAACCATTTTGTGGACAATAATATTAAAATTATTAAATTTTATGACTTAAATTAGGAGTTTCAAGAAACATCCAATAAGTATCTTTTGTAAATTTCTATTTCTTAGGAAAATCTATTGTTAGGTTCTCTGTTAGGTCCGAGGTTAGGTCATTCACTAAGATATACCTAATTTGTATAATGATTCCTATTTTCTGCTAATACTCCTTGAATTGGTTGGTATTTTCATGTAAGTATTTCTCACTTGTCCATGTATTCACAAGTGTACCTATTTCCTAGGTCTTTCTAAGTATTTCCAAGTACCTATATATTTAGGCCTGGTTCTATTATCTAGCCGCACCGATTATTTCGTCCCAGAATGCGTGCATTTTCATTTAAATCCGAGTTTAAATCATTAATATTGGATTTTGGCCTCGATTTTGGCAGCTAAACAATTACGCGACAACAAATTGCTAAATAGTTATAAAAAACATCATCAAGCGGATTCTAGAGATCTGAGAATGTTTTTGTATTTAAAGCACGAAGTTGTTTGCAAGTAGAGTCAGTTTAAACAACAGAATTTTATATAATTTAAGTAAAAGCGACAAGTGAGAAAAAAAATTTCTGTTTTATTTTTTTTAGGGTAGGACAAGGGCTGCTTGTTATGAGTCTAACTTTTTCCATCTAAATTTCTCCTGAGAACATCCCGTTCCATTCGCCTGAAGTTCATTTTTTTTTTGTTTTTTATATGATATGTATGCGAGTATGTATGTCTTATCACCTACCCTTTAGCCAGGGTGGCGCTCGAAAGTTAGGTGTCCTTGAAAAAAGATATTTCGGGATTTTTTTTTTGACTAATAAGTAAAGTGAATCAACCACAAACCATGCAGCAACGACTCATAATTGATTGGCCAATTTTTTGGAGGGCCACCCCGGCTAAAGGGTAGCGGATAGACGTATTTGTTATAGATAAAAATAAAATTGTGAAAATATAGAAACTTTTTGTTTCGTTTCGTTTCAAAATTTGTAATGGATTTCTATCAGGTATCGAAAAAATCAATCTCTCTAAACATAAAACGTTTGCAAAGTATAAATTGGCATACAATGAAATGAAATGGGCATTTATTTAGCGCTTGGCTAGTAGCATATACATACTTACTTAGTATAATTTCATTTCATTTCATAAAAAGAGTGCAAAAAGCCATAAATTATTAATACATAATCACATTTGTATTTATAATCGAGATTGTTCACAAACGTTAATTAACATAAAGGAATTAACTCGGGAATTAAGTAGTGATTTTTCACAAACTTTTAAGAAGAGGGTTTTATTTGTATGAACATATGAAATATATGTAGCCATACACAGCACAAAGTGTACCGGTCATTTTATATGAACTTGCACTCGTTCCCTAAAATTAAAAAATTAAATGAACGTTGAAATATTACTATATAACACAAAACTTTTTTACCTACCTCTGAAAACCTCGCAACAGTAATATCTATCACATACATATATAGAGTACTGATAAAACAATATTATACTTAGTCACTATACCTAACACAAAAGAATAGTATTTAAAACACTATCGGTCGAAAAAACGAATTCCTGAACGTTGAAATTACCTTTTCTTCAATTAAAATCGACGAAAAAATTAACTCGCAAGCAATCCATCGAAATCTGCGGGTAACGTCACCACACCGGCTCGAGAACTGGCGAACGTATGCCTTATATTGGGTTCAGAAATCTTATTTGGTTCAAGGGTACGTGAAAGAGGACACCGAATTTTACTGCTGCGGGAGAAGAGGATATTTTAGGCGTGACTGTAGGGCACGTCTGAGATCTCGCTCTCCTTCTGGTGACTCGACCTTCAATGGCAAACTTTAAAGGGAGCATCCAATGTTACCACTGTAGAAAAAGATTTAAAAATGACCATAGAGTATGACTGAGTTATAGGTCCCCTTTTGATGACCCCCAGCTTTTCATTTAGAAGTTGCAACAGTACGATTTTCAAATCACACATTTAGACCGTCAGATAGTGACATATTTAGGTGCCCCATTTTCGCATACAAGCCTTGAAGAGGGTTGAAAAGTACATCAATTTTGAGTAGGTTACTTATATTACCCTGAAATGTACGTTTCCATTAGCGACACCCAAAAAATAGTTATTTTCCTAACAAGTGCGGAAAGTGATACTTTCCCGCACGCGACTGCCGTTGAGCAGTTGAGTGCGGGAAAGACACTTTCCGCATGAGTAAGGAACATTATTTTTTCTACGAGCGCGTTCAAATATAAAAATAAAAATTAGGTAAATTCAAAACGATATATTATTGAAGAAATCGTTCAATTACAATAGTTATTTATGTATCAAGGGTACTAAGTAGATGATTATGCCCTGAGGGCGACAGTCTTACAAAGCCGAGTGCCTCTGGTCCGAGGGTTCGTAACCGCCCGAGGGTTTATATATCTATTAGTACCCGTGGTACATACAAACTATTATGTCATACCCGTTGGTTGTGAATAATAAATATACAGGGTGTCCACTTAGTGCGATATCGGACGATATCTCCTTACAGGGTGATGCAAGAAAAAAAATTTGAATTACAAAGTTACTCTAATATGAATTAGCTAAAAATATTTTTGAATATACAGGGTGTCCCAAAAACATACCGACAAACTTTAAGGGGTAGTAGGGGACATCAAAATAAGCATTTTTGTTTATATAAACATATGTCCGCAAATGAGCCATTTGGGCTGTAGAGCAAAAAAACTGTTTGGTACTTTTATTCTTCGCAATAATTAAATCATTGTTTATTTCGCTTTATTAACAAATAAATTATGGTTTATAATAATTGTTCAAAATGTTGACCATTTACTTCAATGCAAAGATTGCACCGTCGGGTCATTGACTGAAAACTTTAGTCTACGAAACACCTGTTCGTAATAAGAAAGATCTGTTAGCAAGGATACTGGCGAGTTGTACCCTAGACGCTATTCCCGGAATATTCCAAAGGGTTCGCGAGTCAATGACCCGACGGTGCAATCTTTGCATTGAAGTAAATGGTCAACATTTTGAACAATTATTGTGAACCATAATTTATTTGTTAATAAAGCAAAATTAATAAGTAAACAGTGATTTAATTGCGAAAAATAAAAGTACCAAAAAGTTTTTTTGCTCTACAGCTCAAATGGCTCATTTGCGGACATATGTTTATATAAACAAAAATGTTTGTTTTGATGTCCCCTACTACCCCTTAAAGTTTGTCGGTATCTTTTTGGGACACCCTGTACAGGGTGCTCCGTTTATGGGGTATGCGACAGTACTTTGTTATTTTAAATGGAATACCCTGTATGCGATTGCATATTTGGATTCTATGTAAAATTCTGAGCAGATTTCATGTAATATACCCTATACCTAAATTCAACTGTTTTGGAAATATCGACAGTTGAAAATTGACGTTTTGCAACTTTGACAGGCTGTAAAACCTAAACGGTTAATTTTGGACGAAAACCGATTTTACATTCCTATCTTAGATTTTTATAAACTATCATTTGACATCAACTTTAAATTTAACCGGAGATTGAAAATTCCAGTTAAATTTCAACTCCGTAACATTTTCCCGCACTAGTGCGGGAGAGTGACATTTTCGGAACTAAAATGCGTGCGGGAAAGTGATAAAAATGCACGCTCGTAGAAAAATATGTTTTCCTGCTACTGAAGTTGTAGATTTTCATCCTTCCGATGGGCTTGTGTGGAAAAATCGCCCAAAATCTCGATTTTTCCTTACAAAGTTTCGCCCTTATTTCAAACCTTTAGCCACCTGCAACACCCCCTTATTTCTTTTACGAAGCCAGGTTTTATCAATTAGTCCTTTGGTGAACGCGGCTTGCGAGAAAATATGGGCACTAGGACGTCTTTCATTTCTGTTACGGAAAATCGAATTTTCCATACGTTATCCACAGGAGTCATTCGTAAAAATATCTTTATCCTACTCAAAATCGGTGTACTTTTCAACCCTCTTCGAGGCTTGTATGCGAAAATGGGGCACCTAAATATGTCACTATCTGACGGTCTAATTGTTGATGCAATGATTTCGCGTGAACTTTTTTTGAACCTGTATAATGCATTTTGCTTTCAATATATCGCTGAAGGCATACAAGCGCATCGCGCACCTCCTAGGAATACCTAGCGAAAACGTAGAAAGGTGCGTCAGTACCATCGATACGATAGATTTGGTCTGGTGCGAACCCACAACCAATCGGCGGTTCCTTTCGCAAAAGATTTTCGCGACCGTTGAGTTTTTCCTCCATTTTCTCGATGTTTACAAGACCACATAAGCCAAATTGGGTAAGCGACAAACAACCTTTTTGCATGACCTCACTCTATTTCTAATTTTTTTATGTAATAAGGACGCAATATTCGCCATACAGTCCACTAATAATTCAATCGTAATAATTGCATCCTCACAACACATCCTTCTGGTAAACTGCATAACAACGAAGATACTTTATGCCAGCGACTATACCTTCGATTTAAAATGTATCAAGAACGGAGTTTGGAACAGTTTAGAAGCGACCAATCAGGAGATAGTGAACAATCGGACTCTGATGGTTAATATCTCGAATATGGGAACAAATAGAAAAAAACTGAGAAAGTGACTAGATTCTCTAGCCACAAAACGATTCAAGATATCATAAAATTTGAGCCTCAGAGTGGGGTTTGATTTTTTTGTATCTCGCTCAGAAATTATGATGTTTTCTATCAAAAGTGTCCACATTGGACAACACTGCACATATCAAAAAACCGAAAATAACAAATGAAAATACCTATTCTAAATAAAAATATAACACATTTATTTGATAAAAACAAAACAATAAATTGAACAATAATTTAGCTTGGAAAATTTTCCAATAACATTTTATTGGCAAATTTTTCCATGAACTTTTATTGGAAAATTCTTTTATAAAATTTTTCTATGATTTTTTTTTTTAAATTTTAGTAGTTTTTGAGGCTCTCAGGGGGGGGGGGGCGCCCCCCGCGCCCCTCCCCTGGATCCGCCACTGCGTCGGTTGCCTGCGGCGTTAATGGAAATGATCTTATTATTATACTGCCCCCCCCTAAGAAACCTCGTAACGACGCCCATGGCCACAGTACCGCTACGCAATTTTACTATTTTGTCAAAATAATCAACTTCAGTGTACAGTGTGGTCATTTTATCTTGATAACATTTCAAACTGTCATAATTTCTTTATTTTCAAAGTTATTCAAATAAATAAAAAAACATACTGCTAGGGTTGTTTTCCAAGTTTTAGATAGGATGGACAAAAAAACAAAAGACTAATATATTCTAACAGTTTTGCATACAAATAGCATTTTTTTGATAGACCTATCTATTTTTACCTGGTATTAGTACAGGTGTGAGGTGTTCGTTTTTCACGCTAGGCATCTCCTTGTCCTTGTTCATTGCCCGTGGGCTGACAAGAATAAAAGTAAAGTTGATATTCAACTTGACATAGCTTGACAAGTGACATTCAAAAGTTGTTTGCAATTTTCATTGACAAATACGTTGCACAACACGAGGTCTTTCTCCTTCCCTTTTTATCCCGTGCAAATAAAATGTGTCTTTTTTTATCTAATGAAGTTTTCGTATTATTACGTCTTTGTCTGGTAAAATAGATAGGTCTATTGGAACACCCAGTAAATTTTTAACTTGTTTGATAATATGTTTCATCATGCTCGTAATAAGTATATACAATAAAATACAATTGAATACAATTGACTTTATATTTGCATGCAGAAATGTTTTATTTATTCTAATAGAAAATATTGACTTCCTTTGTAAATCTGCGAGCAAATCTGTGTAGGTAGTCAATATTTTCAATTAGAATAAATAAAACATTTCTGATCTGATTTCTGCATGTAAATATAAAGTGAATTGTAAGGTCTATTTCTGCAGAAATCACAAACCAGTCAGAGTGAATTTCATTGGTTGAAACTAGTTTTCTGACTGTTTCTGACTGTTTTCAACCAATGAAATTCGCTCTGACAGGTTTGTGATTTCTGCAGAAACAGACCTGTATTCAATTGTATTGTATTGTATATATTACAAGCAGAATGAAACAACAAATCAAAAATTTACTGGGTGTTCCATTCAAAAAAAATGCTATTTGTGTGCATAACTGTCAAAATATATTGGTCTTCTGTTTTTTGTTCATCCTATCTAAAACTTGGAAAACAACCCTATAGTATGTTTTTTTATTTATTTAAATAACCTCAAAAATAAAGAAATTATGACAGTTTAAAATGTTATCAAGATAAAATGACCACACTGTACAAGCGAAGGCGCAGATTTTTGGGTCCATCCTAATATGATTAATAACGCGCATAACGGTTTCCGATATCCTAAAACTCTGGTGGTGTGACGTTACTGTTACAGAAAGCAAACTTTCCTCTTAATTGGTTTGGAAAGCAAAAATCAATACAAATACTATAATATACATTTCAAGCTTTGAGACATAGGATTGAATGATCTACTTAATTTTGTTTCTTTTTTTTTTCAGGTGTAGCTCAATACACATAACCATGAAGTCCAAAATAGGCTGTTACTTTTTTATATTCATAGTTTATTACCATAGCAATTGCTGCTTGGCTAGAGAAGGTAAATTTTTTCGCAAACATCTATCAAAGTATTTTCTAACTCATTATTTTTTGTAGTTCCATCGCCCCCTTTAATTGTTAAGCAACCTCCAACAGATGAAGTACTTTTTCAAGTAGAACAGAGCGGCGAAAACGACAAACCATTTTACATAGAGTGTGAGGCTGAAGGTGAACCAGCACCAAAGTACTACTGGGTCAAAAATGGGAAGAAATTTGACTGGCAGGCTTATGATGATAGAATCTCACAACAAACTGGTCGCGGTACGCTTTCAATCGCTAAGCCCTCCGAAGTAGATATTGGGCAATACCAATGCTTTGCCGAGAACGAACATGGCATTGCTACTTCTAATTCAGTGTTCATGAGAAAAGCAGAACTTAATTCCTTCAAAAACACTCCCCCAATTTCTTTATCAGGCAAGGAGGGTGAACCCTTTAACCTAACTTGCCAACCACCTGATGGTTGGCCAAAGCCTGTTGTACACTGGATCATTATGTACACAAACGGAGGGTTTAAGACAATTAATTCATCCAGAATGACATTAGACCCTGAAGGCAATTTGTGGTTTTCCAACCTGACATTGGGTGATAACACTGATAATTTCATGTACGCTTGTGCAGCTACAAGTCCGTTGAAACATGAGTACAAATATGGAAACAGGGTTCTACTCAACGTTATAGCTGCTGGAGCTTCTGCTGCTCAAAATAAAGTACCACCTGTTCTACAGTATGTTACAAGAAAAAATGAAATAGCTTACAGAGGCAAAAGGGTCGAGCTGTTTTGTATATTTGGAGGAACGTAAGTAAATTCCTAATATTTTCAATTGAATTTATAGATTAGGTGATTGTGCTTTATTGATGTGATAATAAAAAAGTAAGGGGATAAGATCGCTTCTACAAAAACCTACTAATGTTTTCCTATAATCTCCTTGAACAATTTTGGTACTTGCTCCTTATTGGTAGGGTAACCGATAGGGAGGTCGCCTTGCGATGTATGACTCACATATTCTCAAAAAAGACGACAATCAGCAACAGAAGGACCATTTCCCTATGTCACAGAAATCCAAAATGTTTGTCCTTTTAGGCCTCTTAGCTTTTACAATTCTTGAAATATGTTTTTTTTTTAAATTTCATTTTATATTGTGGATGCGGCAGGATGGATTACCACATTTGAAATGTTAATAAAAATGGAACAGTAAAAAAGTACGATTTTTTTCTGAATAGTACATGTGAATAAGGTTTCATTTCTTCTGTTCTGCATCAGTCTCTCCAGCATATCTGGAGGACTAGCGGCAATTCCTCCTCTTATGAGTTGTTCGAGAGTTTGGGTATGATTGTAGACCTTTAAGGTAGGTTGCTCAATTTCGCACCATAAAGAAAACACATATCCTGGAAGCAAATGCACGGGAGCAACGACCAGTTCATGAGATGAAGCCCCGTCCTGCTGAAACGAGAATTGCTCTCGATCATGTACTTCAAATTCTGTCAATTCTCGCTAGCTTTTACAACTACAGCAGCGGACGGAAGTCGCAGTTGCGATGCCGTCATCCTCAATGCCCATAATGGACACCGCGCACTACACTGCCACTTAGGGGCTGTGACGAGGTGTTTGGTGGAACTGTCAGGGGTTTTCTAAAGCTTAGCATAGAAAATTCTGCTTATCGATTGTACTCAAAGGTAGAAATGCGCTTCGTCGCTGCTCTAAGTTATAGCGTCGAAAGACACAGCTGCAAGGATTTCCTGTGCAAGCATCATCTTAAACGGGTGTAAATGCAGATACCGAGCCGAATGCCTTCGAGACTACTGTATGCAGGCTTCGCACCTCCCTCACCCCTTTATCTGCGCCTCGGCAGGGGCAGTGACCTTGTGGAATGTGGCAGTTCGTACTGCCGCACCCCATTATAATAATCCTTTGCTTAGCACACATGACTATTACAAAAAAAACTTTTATTTACTATTTCCCACATTCACCATAATGAAATTTAAAAAAAAATACACACAAAACACCAGTGAAGAAGTCATCTACAGTGTGTCCCGCTTAAGGGCTGACCACCCTTCTAAAATTTTTATTTTTTAGCCGATCTAATTTTTTTTTGTCTCATATCCACTCGAATTTGGTACTTATTAGGCTTATAAGTTTATTTCTGTGGCTTTACTGGTGTACTGGGGTCCACATTTATAGGCTCTTTCAATAAGTATACTATTGGGGATTTTTTTAGAAAAAATCTGATAAAAAATTCTTGTTTAGAATGATCTAAGACCCAAATATACTAATTTTTGTTTCAATACTATACAGGGTGATCACAACAAAATATTTTCAGAATTCAATGGATCGAACAGCAAAAATGTCATATTTTGAGACAAGTTTTGGTTAAGGATATTCTAAAACTAAGTTGTACCAACTTTTGTTGTTATAATAATACAGGGTCACAGTTAAGAAGGGTGGTAAACAATAATCGTCGACTTATTGAGAAATGTACTAGAGAGTTGGGCGGTTTAATTGAAATGTCAAATATTGAAATTGAAGAATTAGTCCATATCTCAAAGTGGAGTTGAAATTTAATTCAAAAGAAAAACTCAAAGTCTTCATCCACAAATACTTTATTCGTTTTGAACAGCCCTACATGTTTCGGGATAAGTAAATCCCATCATCAGGGGCAATAAATTAAAATATTTAAATGTCTTAAACTTTTCTTTTGTGTTTTTAACCTTTTTATGTGTTTTTGTTGTGTCCTGAAGCAGGACACATTGTATGTCACTGTTTTACCTGCGTTGCAACACTTGTCAGAGGCGATATAGAGAACTTATGGACTGACATCAGTCCTGAGGACTTCGACGAGTTTTTTGCAGATATGTAACTTGGTGGAGCCCCACATAACCACAGAGGGGTGCATTTAAACTCACCAAATTTTTCTTCACGTTTGTGGTTCTTTCGATATTCTACTTTCCTTTCCGTGTTACTTCAAGCTCTCAAAAGTTGTCCCAGTACATAAAAAGCAAAAAATATCACTTATAACTATTCATCCATTGTCCGCATTCCTGTGCTCTCATATTCGAACTAGTAACGAATCAACAGAAAAGAAAAATCTTTTTATTTGCATCAATAAAAATGAAAAGAATTATTTCGCGATCACAAAATCTCAGAATATTACCGCAACACACTCTTCCTCGTTTATACCCTAGTACACATTCTCCAGAAATACGAACATTGCATCGTTAGTGGGTCTCGCTTTTCTAAATTTCAAACCGAATATCTGCAGGCAGGTCCAACTTCTATATGGGAAATTGGTCGGTAGTTGGAGGGATAATTCTCTGCGCCACTCTCATTAATAGGATTGACTTTCGCAGATTTGAGGCAGCTTGGGAAGACACAGGGCACGAACTGAGATGTTTATTGGCTTCACCAGTTATGCTTATGCAGCCAAATTTTCACAGAAATACCTTCTATCCATGTACTCTTTTTGTTTCTCACGTCTGTTGAATGCTTTTTAGCTTCTGGTAGAGCGTGTAAGAGTCAAAATTTTAGAACACCCTATTGTGAGTAAAAGCACAGTCAGACCTTAGACTTGTTGCCTTGAATTGAGTTGAATCAGTTTGGAGCTCCCAAGATAAAACTTGAATGACTTAAGAGCTTTCGACTGTGCGCCCCTTGTATCTAATACTATGGTTGAAGAAACCATAAACCAGATGTCTAATACTGAATACATAATTTTTTATAGGCCATTGCCACAAACGAACTGGTTCAAAGATAACCAGCCACTTCGATCTACAGACAGAGTTACACAGGGTAACTATGGAAAATCTCTCATTATTAAAGTTGTTGATTTTGAAGATCAAGGTACCTACACCTGTGAAGTTACCAACGGAAATGGAGAATCACAGTCATATGCTATTAACTTAAAAGTTTTAGGTAAAAATAATAATATGATAAAATTATTATATTATTTTAATAATTTTTTCAGCTGTTCCCTATTTCATCGAAGAACCGAAAGTTATAACAGCTGCTGAGGATGAAACCGCCGAATTCCAATGTAAAGCAGGAGGTGTCCCTGAACCTGATATAATATGGATTCATAATGGCAAACCCATCGACCAAGCGTCGAAAAATGACAGACGCAGAATAGAACCAGGAGTACTTATTATTGAGCGCCTGATCAAAAGTGATACTGGCAATTATGGATGCAATGCAACTAATTCTTTAGGTTATGTTTACAAAGATGTATACGTTAACGTACAAGCTCTGTCACCAGAAATAACCGAGGCTCCTAGGGATACCTCCGCAGTAGATAATCAGGACATTAATATGACATGTAAAGTAATGGGTGCGCCAAGGCCCACAATCAAATGGATTCATAATGGACAGGAGCTCACAGGTGGCGAATTCAAGATACTCGAAGGTGGAGACCTCTTTATTTCCAAAGTTCAGTTTGATGATAGAGGAAATTATACATGTTATGCGGAAAATAAGTTTGGAAAAGCTAGTGCAAGCGCTAAGTTGGATGTGAAGGGTATGTTTACTTAATTTATTCCTAAATCTTGTTTTTATTTAAAATTTAGCTTTGTCGTGTTGGAACAAATCAAAATTAGTAATCAGTTACTAATTAATATGACTAGTAGTAACTAGCTAAAGCTAACATTTTAAAATTTATACAATACTAAATCACTCAGCCACGCATTGTTGTGGCTCAGTAGTTAAGTTATAATACATTTAATTAATTTTATCTTGATGTTTTTAATAGTCGAACTAATATTCACTTATAAAGCTAAAAATGTTTGTCGATGAAACAAAATATTTTTGGCTAGCTTGTCTTTTCCTAAAACTACTAGATTTTATGGTTTTGCCACACATGAGCATGCTTCATATAGTTGCCCATGGGAGAAACACATATTTTCCAAATCCAAGTTCCAAATGGACATTGTTTGGCCTTGATACTTTTTTATGATTATCGCCAAAGCCAAACGAATCAGAAATTGAAGCATTTTAAATTATATTGGAGAGTCTGGCGGTAACATTGGAATATATTCTAACAGAACAATTTCATTTAAACTTTACCGTCAAAATAGTTGCTTCGAGAACATTTCCGGTACTCCCCATACAATAAATACTTATTTATTTCACAAAATTTGTTTAAATAAATGTCATTGGGTTAAGCAATAAATTGGGCATCTTGGCCACAGTCCAACCCTGTACCTCTTACGGTTTGTCCACCCTGTACAGAATCGATGTTTGCAAAGTAAACCATTTTTCTATTTCGAAAAACTAGATATTTTGATAAGAATTTCAAAGAGTAAAAGCCGAGTACAAATGTATCTATTTCATTTAGCCATCTGCTAGAGGCAAAATATTGATTTAATTGTTATTATTTGTTTAATTTCAGCTCACACTTATATCACTGATGGTCCCGAAGATTATGAGGTTGAAGCAGGAACTCCAGCAACATTCAGATGTAATGCTGCAACTGACGAATCATTGGACCTGGAAATAATTTGGCTAAAAAGTGGCCAGCCTATTGATTTTGAAGCTGAGCCTCGTTTTGTCAAATCTTCCGATTATTCATTAACTATTACCAAAACACATGAATTAGATTCGGGACCATATACATGCATAGCTAGAACAGAGTTAGATGAGGCTGCTGCGCATGCACAGCTCATTGTCCAATCAATTCCTAATCCTCCTGGTGACATTCGAGTTGAATGCCACAATATGGATGCTACTGTTCATTGGGTTCCTAAAGGAGATAATAGAGCAAACATTTTGCGTTATATAATCCAGTACAATACCAGTTTCACACCTGATTCCTGGGAGGATGCCTATAATGAAGTGCCCGCTGTAGATAAAACTTACACTGTTCCAATGAGTCCTTGGGCAAACTATACGTTCAGAGTTATCGCTGTAAATAAGATCGGTAGATCATTACCTTCACCACATTCTGAAGTTTGCTCTACACGCCCTGCCGTTCCACATAAGAATCCTGACAATGTTGTTGGGGAGGGAGACAGGCCAGACAATTTGGTTATTAGCTGGACCCCTATGGCTCAAATAGAACATGCTGCCCCTGGCTTTAAATACAGGGTCTATTATAAAAGAGACATTCCAGGAAAAGACTATGAATCGCCTTTAGAAATTACAGATTGGCATGTCGGCCGAGTGGAACTACCTAATCAGCCTTCATTTCAACAGTATAGAATAAAGGTTTTAGCTATAAATGATGAAGGCGAAGCTGATGTAGCCCCGCAAGAAGTGATTGGATTTTCTGGGGAAAGCGAACCTACAGAGGCTCCTCAAAACTTCACTGTCCTCAATGTGCAAAGCCCTACAAATGCTTTATTAAGCTGGATTCCTGTTTCTTTAGAATCAGTGAGAGGTAAGATAATTTCAAACATTGGACCCACTAAAATGTATATTAAATCCTCAGGTTAATTTGATTTGCAGACTATCTCTCACCTAATGTGCTAATAATTTTATTTATTTAGCTATTTCTTGCACTTTTACAGATTGGCTCCCTAAAAGAATTACTCCTATTGTAAAGTACTCAGTAAACAGGTTCGATGCAGAAATCAATTTATACCATTATCAGAAATTTAATTTCTTAATTGTTAGCCAGTGATTTTTGTAAAAATATTAAAACATGTAATTAATAGGTACTTTATTTCTAGGGCACTTCAAGGGGTATAAAATTCGGACTTGGAGTGACCAAAGTCCTATTCACAGTGAAATTCAAGTCCAAGGTGGTAACGCGAAAGCCTTAGTGAATACGTTTATGCCAAACACAAAAAATTATGCCCAAGTTTATGTCTATAATGGTAAATACAATGGACCTCCAAGTGAAACTCTGAGTTTCCACACACCAGAAGGTGTTCCTGGTGAAATGGATGTTTTAGAAGCAACGCCCTTGGGATCATCTGCCTTTATCCTCCGATGGGAGAAGCCAGATAAGCCTAATGGTAATCTGACAGGTTATAATATTTATTTTGCCGAAGTCGATCAGAATCTCAAAGTTGGCAGGCCTATTCCAAGAAGTCCGCAAATTGATGACCCCAATAGATTAAGAGCAAAATTAGCTGGTACGTTGTTTTTAAATTTATTATATTCTCAACTAGAGTGTGAAGATTTGTGCAATGTTCTTAGACAGAATGCACAATGTGTATATCTTATGCCACAATCATGGCGTAGTATGATACTAATACAAAATCTGTGGTCGTACGATCGGCAGTCCATTTTTTTATTTGCATTTAGAGTAAAAATGGGTAAGAAATCAAGATGACAACGCCTTTAAGTGGTTCGTTTAGAAGCTACTGGTGCCACTAACTAGAAGGGTCCTTTCAAATTTTGTTCATATTTGTACGATTGTTTCCACTGTTTGATGGTTATTGATTTGACTAGTACTTATTCTTACCATTTATATTAAACTCGTTTGGGTTTGGGAGTCTGTTACATAAACTGTTTGTTTATCTAATTTGTGTTCACATTTTTTTACCATACTTTTGACAAGGTTCGATGATTTGGGAAGGGGCAGAAACACATTTTCCTCTGTATATCATTATATTGTTCAGCAGGCAGGTGCCTGAAACTAGCTCTGTGATTGGGTACGTTAGAGGTCACACATCTCGAGGTGCGGATTTGCCCAGCCCACTAGCAGTTTGCAGTTGCGAACAAATGTGTGAAAGATTGGAAAGGGAAACAGTGCAATTATGGTCATGAATAAAGATAGATCTTTATCCATGACCATAATTGCACTGTCCAATAAGTGCAATTTATTGCAAGACGCTCTTTTGGGATCAGCCACATAAGTCGCGTCATAATAGATATGTATTAGATTAGTATTGGGCAGTTGGACATCGATCCACGGCGAGGCGATGTGAACTATTCCAATGTATTTCACAACAGCGAGTGTCGATGCACGGCGTTGGCGTATTTTTCTCTTGATGTTTGTCGCTGGTTCCTGTCTTTTTGGTTAAATTTATTGATACTTTCCCTAATAAACTTGATTGGGTAGTTAGAATTTGAAATATTTCTAATCCTTTTCAGATTTCCCTTGTGGAAGGATGAGTCACTTAGTTCATATGGCTTGTAAAAAGGTCCGTTCACTGTCGCTACTTTGTAAATATCCGATTATTTGACCAGTATTTTAAGACTCTGTCGGAGCTGGTGGGATCGGTTTATACTTGTATTTTTAGTGCAATTTAGTACAATTAAGCATGTTTTAATTTGATCCTGATACGAAAAAAAAACAACAAACGTTTTTTTTTCACATTTCAGGCCTAAGACCTGGAACCAACTATCGTATCTATATTAGTGCCACTACAAAGGCAGGCGAATCCAAACGATATTTTATTGAAAGAAGTACAAAACCTTTGGGGATTTATAAACCAGGTATTCCCCGTTTCGAATGGGAACCAGTTATTAGAGATAAAAGTGATCGAGCTTCCGTAAGAGTCCATTGGTTACCTAGTGAAGATGGAAAGCCTGGTTCACATTTCTTTGTAAAGTATAAAAAGAGGGGAGCAAGTACTTATCTGCAAACACCTCCAGAAAAAAACGAAGATTTCTTAGAGGGTAAGTAATAGTTATTTAATATGCTGATAGTGTAATACTGTGTGTACACACGGCTTAGGAATTTTCATTGAATTAAACATTAAAAAAAATGCAACAATTTTTCAGTTCCATTCAAGGTTATATACTAGATTCACCGTTATCATAATGCAGGGTCAGAATAAGTTTTCTCAGTTTGGCAGGCTGGGTTGGACTTGCCTCATAGTATTCACTACTCTTTTTGGAATGCCACTGATATTCTGCATTCTTCTTGCTACATCCAATTTTATAATATTATCACCGATTCAATTTCTTTACGATTTGGTGCATTTTCTTGACCAATGCCTACACGTAATTGGACAAGGGTTTCCGCAAAGCTTCCCCCAATATTTAATCTTTCAGCAATTAAAAACATTATTCCACTCTCTGTAACGCTCAATTTTAAAGAATTAGGGATATGTCAATTTGACATGGTTGTGGCACAGGATATGTCATTCACGACATTGATCTACAAATGTGCGAAATTTTTAGGAAATTTCATCGCAACAGGGTGAGCCAGCAAAGTGGTGGCAGCCATTTGATGGACGTTTTGTTTCATACTTAATTCGACCCTGTATGTACAATTTGAAAAATATTTTCCAAAATCTTATTCTTTTTATTCAAAAATTGAATGTTGCACTCTTATTGGACCACCCCTAACTTGACCCCTAATTATTGATGAGGCTTGCAAAATTTTAAAAGATCTTGTCCGCCTTTTACTTCTACTTTCAACTTTAAAATATACCAATGTGTTTCTGAATTTTACTGCTGTGGAGCGTAATTTCAAATGTTTTAATTGTAACAGTTAGTATGTACATACTTCCATATCATATATTTTTTCTTTTAAATTTTTGTCCTTTGTACTGTTTGATATTCTTAAGTTGGTCGGTAGGTCCTTATTTTTTTATAGTGTATTAGGTAAATAAATAAAAAGATTTTTTTTTAAATTTCAGTTGCTGGCTTAGAAAGTGGTGAAACATACGAGTTCACCGTTGTATCAGTTGATGGTGAATACCAAACAGAGAGCGAACAACAAGACGTATACACCAACGACGGAATCATCATAACGGCAAAAGAAGCCGTCGCCACTGCGGGTTGGTTTATTGGCATGATGTTAGCAATAGTGTTTTTGCTTTTGGTGCTCATCATTGTCTGTATAGTCAAGAGAAATCGTGGAGGAAAATATGCAGTACACGAACGAGAACAAGCTAACGGACGACACGATTATCCTGAAGAAGGAGGTTTTCATGAATATTCTCAACCGTAAGTACTGCTTGTTATTTTCAATGAGAATTGAGATTATTATAAATCTTAGGTCAAAATAAATTCCTGTATAAACGTCATAAAATAAAACAAAACTTAATCTGAAATTGAATTAGAACTCAAGATATTTTGTAGCTATATTTCACAGAACGAAAATAACCACAGTGTGTCCACAGTCCACATAGGCTGTATGAATAAAATATCTTGTTCTATATTATCCTTAGAAGATAGCCGAGCTTAGTATTTAGTTTTTGGTTTTTAGGTCAATTATTGAGCGAAATTTTTGAACTGTTAATAGGATTTTTTTAAAACAGCCTCTGCTTTTACGTACTTTCAATAAAAATTAACCCAGCTATGTAACCAATTAAGTATGATAAATATTTTATAATTATATACTCAGTCACAGCAATAGCCGATAGTGTAGCGCTGGGTTATTGCCTGTTGACTGGGAATTATCAACCCCAAACAAGGTAATCTTTTAGGCAATGACTACAAGCAACTTCAATAATCATTAGTTAATTATAAATTATTTAGCTTTTCACCTTTTTAGGTTAGACAAACCCTATGGGCGAGCTTCAACAGGCAGCGAACCGAAAGTTGGCCCAGAAAGTGATACAGATTCCATGGCCGAATATGGAGACGGTGATACAGGTAATTATCCTTGCATATTCCAATTTTTGAGACTAAACATTCATCACCAAAATTAGACACTCGGCGGCAACCTGATTTGACATATTAGGTTTTACATCAATAGCCTAATAGATGATAGTATAATTGAAATTTTTGAATTTCACATAACAAATTTGTTTTCTTCATTGGTTGCGTTATAATAACCCTTCGTGCTTTTGTGATTAATGATGCTATCCAACTTATTTTTCCAATGGTTATTTTCAGTTTGCAAAGTTTAATATATATAAAGTTTCCATGAATTATGCTTTTTTACGTGTTGTACTAACGGCCAATTTCATAATGGAGAATTAAAAGTTACCTTAGCTAAATAGACTTTTAGGATAGGATTTTTCAACTTCAAATGGTGCTTTAAATTTAAAGTTTACTTTAAGTTGATTATGAAATTGGCCGTAAGAGCCCAATTTATAATACTTTATCTTAATTGTTCAAAAAAATCGTTCTTCCTGAAAAAATTGGAAATAAATACATTGGAACTAACTTCTAATGAAATTATGCTTAACTTTCACATTTTTTATAGTTAAATGAATCTGATCTGGATTCCGTTGATAGAAAATTGTGTAGACATGTTTTATCAAGGCTCATTCAGCTTACTTCTTTTATGCACAGAGATTCAGCCTCACACTAAAAGCGTAGCGACCTGTAAAAAGCTATAAAGGCCACCCGATTTTATGCAAAACATCGACAATAGACATTTCAATTTTTTTATCATCACCTTAACTAATTTGGTGAAAAAAAAATATCGCGGTGTATTTTCTATGAGCCTGTAACCCATATTCTTTATTCGTTTTGGCCTTTTTTTTTGAAACTAGATCAATCAAAATGTATGAGTTTTAGTTTTAAGTTTGTCTTGGCAATGTATTGTTTGGTGCTTTTGTGTATATGTTTTTTTTTTTTTTTAAATGTTTATGTTTTTTTATTTATTTCTGTAGAGGGTATGAATGAAGACGGTTCTTTTATTGGACAATATGGCCGGAAGAGGGGCCAAGGTGAAACAACATCTCAAGGGTTCACAACACTTGTTTGATATGTAAGGTTTTATTTTATATTGTGTTATTGGTTTTGGGAATATTGGGAATATTTTACTAACACGTTAACATTTTCAAATGTATTATACAGGATATCAAAAATAACGTCTGGAATATTACAGGTCTCATTTAATCAACAAGCTCCGGGCTCATTAATTTTTTTTAGACAACTTAAAACGGTTTGTGGACAATACATTTCAAACACAACTATACCTAAAATAAATATTCCAGACATTTTTACACCCTTTATTGTACTGACATAAAACTAACTAAAATCTCTCTATTCATATATTAAACCTTCCACGTAATATTGTGCTTGCATCGTTCACCTGTCTGTATTTAGTATGTCTAGTTCACTTGTTATTTTAATTAGAGATTACATCGAAAAAAAAAACTCAACAGAAGTTTAATGTAATTGCTACACATTACACACATAATTAACCAGAAGAAAAGGACTCAGAGTTCATGGGATTTATGTAATAATGATTGCATGGTGTGACCCTAAAAGGGGAAGCATCCTTTAGCGGTGCTATAACGCGCTACCAATCGCTCAATCTGTTGTGAATTCACTCTCTTTTATTTTATTTTTTTCTCAGCTACTTTAGTTGTTTTGCAATTAAGGACTTTGGCAAGTTTTTCGTTGGTACCTATTGCCACCTTGATTGGTTATTCAACACTGGCTGGAAAAAATCGTTTCAAGACAACCAAAGCATCAATAACTTTCTGTATTTTTCTGTTTCACTTTTTTTCATTGCTCTTACTTGTCTTCTTTGTCTTTCCTCTATAAGTTCGCCTATTTCATCATTACCCTCGACTTTTTTGACATTTATTTTGCTATTTTACCTTCGCTTTTATTCTCAATGCACATTCCACCTATTCGAATTTAGTGTGGTTTAATGTAATTTTTTTCCTTTTTACAAGTTTTATTTATTTATTCATTTATTTATTTGTAAGAGAGTAAAATCTAAAATTAATAAAATTGCACAAAATAATAGAGTTAATGTAATAGTGAAAGCCTAATGTTAGAATGATACCTCTAACGTCGGTCCCAGACGCTACGTGTATTTGGCGAATAGGCAAATATTCGTCATTCGCAGGAACCTTGCCAGGTCTCCCACACGGCGTGGTGCTATGGCGAAGGTTTGGGTTGACAATTGTTCGGCGAAGTTTCCAAGCACAGGGCCGTCGATTTTCAGTGGCGCTTCATGCATGACGTTTTTTTAGTTTTTAGTTCAAATGGACATGAAAAGAGATTGTTGCCGCCGAAAGTGGTTCAAAACAGGTTTGAAATAGTATATTCTCGCGATAAGCCCATGAAGTCACACAAAATTGGTTCAAACCACCTCGAAATATAAACCAATTCACGTTTTTAAACCACTTTCTGGCGCCGAGAAGCTATGCCGTCATTGTGAAACTGTTTTTTAAAACCAGCACTGCACACTGCTATAAACTGACAAAACACTACGCATATAGCCCTTTTCAATCCCGAAGCGTCTGCGAGCAGTGCGAAGTCACACATAGTGGACTTCGCTTCTACTTCGCCTTCTTATGCTTCGTGCCAGTTTACCGACAATTGGCGGGAAAATGACGAAGGACGAATATTCGCCAAAGTTACCTTCCCACACACTACGCGAATAAGCCCGAATACTGAATATTCGCCGTAGCGTCTGGGACCGGCTTAAGCAAAACAATGACTTGTGACATTGTATGTACTAGACCGGGAGTTAGAGGGATGTGAGGACCGGCAAAAATGCTCAAATTCGTATTCCTGTAATCCTAAAGAATGGGAAAGTACATCTTGCCGGCAGCTGGAGTGGTCCCTAACTCTCCTGCCATCCCCCAATGCAAAGTTACATTGAAAATATCACAATTTCAAGTCATTTCACAATAATTCCTATTTATTGTACCTAAGGCTTTCTTCTCAAGTACTCAAAATATATTACCTACCACTTGTTGGATATCTTTGCAATTCTGCTTCAAAATATACACAAGCAAAAGGAGACTGTGAGATGTACAGGGTCATCCAACGACGACTGAACAGGGGCTCATTTTTGACCTTGCCTGTTCCTGTAGTTTTGAAAAAATTCAAAATAGCCACTTGGCATATTTTTTTTCTGGTGAATTCAAAAATGGTACAAAGAAATCATTTGAACCAAAAACCAAAGAGTTACGCCATGGATGAACTGTCTTTCAAATGAAACACCCTGTTTTTGTATAATTTTTGGAAAAGTCGTTTTTTTACGTCTATTCTGTTGAAAATATTTGATATTCCGCTGTTTCCATTCTATTTTAATGTTTTATGCTTAATAATTTTAGCTTTTCCCTTTCAAATCAATGGGTTCATAGGTGATAGAAGTATAATCACCTTTTGTTCAAAGTAAAAAGAAATTTGACATATTTTGTTGCCATCACAGATGTAGGTATTGAACAGGTGAAGCTAAAATTATCAAGGATGAAACAATGAAATAAAATAAAAAGAGCTATCGGGATATCAAATATTTTCAAAGGAATAAACGTTAAAAATGCGACTTTTCCAGAAATTATATAATAAACAGGGTGTTCCATTTGAAAAACAGTTCATCCATCGCGTAAGTCTTTGGTTTTTAGTTCAAATAATTTTTTGGTACCATTTTTGAATTCTTCAGAAAAAAATATGCCAATTGTCTATTTTGAATTTTTTCAAAACTTCAGGAACAGGGAAGGTCAAAGATAAGCCCCTGTTTAGTCGTCGTTGGATGACCTTGTACATCTCGCAGTCTTCTTTTACTTGTGTATATTTTGGAGCAGAATTGCAAAGATATCCAACAAGTGGTAGGTAATTTATTTTGAGTGCTGGAAAAGAAAGCCTTATACCGGTTTTCCACCAAACGGACTGTTGAGTTTGTGTTTTAAAACATGTTTTAAAACTCGAAATTAACCTGAAAAACAAAACTCTTAACTGTCGCAAAACATCTTGAAAATGTTTGGGAAAAGTTAGAGTTTTGTCTGAGTTTAAGTTTTGCTTTTGTTTTGGCGGTTTGGTGGAAAACCGGCATTAGGTACAATCAATAGGAATTATTGTGAAATTGTTATATTTTCAATATAACTTTGCATTCTAAAAGTGGTAGGGTATAGTCTATTCCTTTTATAAATAACCTTTAATACAAATTTAAGAACTTATTTCTACGTTTTTTTTTTTCAACCTAAATCTTTGTTCTCTTTGGAAGCGCCTTGCTGCACGATTTGTGCTAGTTACTTCTTATTTATACTTGAACCCAATATTTTTCATGATCAAATGTCGTTTGATGAGGTTGCAAGGCCATTGATATCTACTTTTTCTATTTCTAGTATTTCTAAAGCCCTTTTTTTTCAGATTTTTGTCTATATTTGAATGTGTTTTAAATTTTTAGGGCGTTTCACTGAAGACGGCTCCTTCATTGGTCAGTATGTTCCCAGTAATATGAAGCAGATTGGCGCCACTGGCACGCCAGGCGCCAATAACAACGCGATGGCAACATATGTTTAGAAAAATTATGAATTTGCTTTAATTGTCGTATTTATCCTTATCTTTCCCTTAAAGTGAATTATTTAACTATATCTACATGCAATATGCTGTGCGCACTAAAAATCTGCCTTGCTTTCAACTTTCGAACTGATATATGTATTTAGAAAATTGAATAGCATACAAAATTCAAGACTGTATAATATTGATAAACCTCTTTCTCAGGTCAGTGTATGGCCATTCATATAGCGATTGGCGGAAGTGATAACGCAGTGTACAAAGGAGAATAGTTTCTTTTTCCATATATATAAGGAATGCTCCTCTACCATCTAGCAAACGCTCTTTGGTCACCGCCTTCTGCTCTAAGAAAATGAAAATTTAGTTTAATTGGTATAATCTGAGTTTCTGTCTGCTTATGTGTGCCGCTCTCTAGTAAACGTTTTTCTTAACTCAGAAAGTAGTATTTTTGTAGGTTTTTATTTCGTAATAATATGCGAAGAAATAGTAGCTGGTAGCGTGGAGAGGGGGGCTTTATTTATAAAAATTCCTCCTTGAAGTTGGCCACACTAGTTAATGTTAAAAATTTCAAAGATTGCACGCTAGACAGGTTTTTTGTGATTTAGTCGCAGCCAGCAATTCGTCCATTTGTTTTTAGTAGTTTATAGTGTTCTCAAATCAAAATAATAAATTTAAATTATAGAATACTTTGTAAATCCTTTGGTAAATTTCAGCAAGATAGTAAATTTGGATTTTTTCCGTAATTACCAAGAAATACTTTTTGTGGTTTTGAGGGAACAAATTATTTCGTATTTTTGGCTTTGATACGCACTATTTTGCTGAAAATTATTATATAGTAATATATTTGGTTGTTAGTTGCAGTTTGAAAATATTTACATTTACCATGTTTAAATTGCATTGATTTTGTTATACGAGTGCTTATTCCATTGTAATATATAATCTGTAATATTATTAAGTTTAGTTTGGCTTTGGATAAAACAATTTTTTACGTTTTTTATTTCCAATTCTCATAATTAGTTTTTTTGTATGTAGTATGGAATATTTGATTTATACAGCAGTTATATAATCATCATTTTGTCCAACTCAGGTTGGCACAATTATTTGTTAATGCTGTTTTATTTTACTACTCAAAATGATGATTTATAAAACTCTTTGTTTTCTCCTTATTGAAAATTTTTCAGAATTTTGCAAATAATTTGTTTTACCCATAAGCCTAAATTAGGAATCTCATCTTAGAATTAATTTGAAGATGTAAATAATTTAAAATCGCCTTGGGCTTATTATTTTATATTAATAATTATATTATATTTTTTTACTGGTATTAGCAAAATTTTTAAATGAGTTACTGCTATTGAATTGAATTCTAAAACGATATAAAATATTTGCTGGCATATGAAATTTTTATTATAGACTCGTTACCAATTTTGTTAATATTTGGTAAATATTTGCCACTGCCTATTGACTTAATCCAAGACTTAATAAAAGGTGTTGCCATACTTTTATTTCGATGACAAATTCAAATGTTACGCTTCAAGCAAGTGTATGTAAAATTATATATAGTTATACACTGAACAATTCTGCTGATGTTAATTTTTTTGGAATAGACATGAGTTTTTGAAAATTAGCTTATTTCCACAAAATACAATATTATTATGAAACTGTTATGCCCAGCCCTTTTAATACGTTATTTCAACGATTTGAGTGTCTCATGATGCTGCCTCTGCACTTCAAGGTGGTTCATTAGATATCATAGCCAATTATGTATATCTATTAGGTAATGCAACTATTTGCGCAGCTGTAATGTAACAGCACAAAGCGGAAAGTGGACAAAAAGCTGTGTCTTAAAGATATAGTATAATTTAGTTTTATTTATTCAATTTTTCACTGCAAATCTGATATTTTTGTGAAATGTCATTTTTGGAAGTTATTCAGTACCATATGGCACAGTTACGCTTCCCAGGCGCAGAACAATACTCACTTGCAACTTGCAACTCCTCACTCAGGCAATATTATTTCAATTTTTTTGATGGGACTGACTCAATTTTGAAATATTATGTTTATTTGTTGCTAATCCGAAACATTAAACCTGTAGTACCTACACAGTATTTTTTGCACTATTGCGAATGTTATTGCCTTTATCAGTTGAATTTATGAGGTTAACTATTATTCGACAAGAAATTGTAATAAGCACTGAAATTGTAATTCCCCCATTCTATTCCCACACCACCTGCCTCACATCAATTTTTCAACAAAATCATTATATACCAAAAACAGAGTAGCCTGAATAAAAAAAGCACAAAAGACTGATTGTTTATCTCATTGACGATCAAATTACTTTGAATGAATGTCCTTAAGCTAGCAAAGAAGCCAAACGTCTACAAGACATGCTCGAAGCAATTGGAAACTTTGAGGAAAGAGACAGTTCGTCGCACAAGCAGATAATTGGCCATGAAAGTTATAAAAATATTTGTCAAGATGAGCTGCAACGTTTTTGTTCATTTGGACTTTGAAACAAACTGATAGCTCCCCAGAAGAAATTTTGCTGGTTGCTATTTCCAACAAAGTCAAAATTACAATATGAAAAAGTCTATAGCCAGTTAAACATAAGAGAAAACGTCGATGTGCAGAGATTTCTCAGACTGGAACGAAGTTGACACAAACATTATGTCACATCTCAACTTTGACATAAGTATTTTTGGAATCCGATGAGATTGCTAAACAAAGTTTATTTCCAATCACAATACATAGGTACCTATTAAAAAAATTAAAAAAAAAAAAAGGTAAAATGTAGGGCCTTGAAATAGATATAGTGTCATCGATGTTTTTTTAAATGGCAGCGCCTGTTTTTTGTGGAGGAGGTCTAAAATTATAGAAACCTCAAAATTTGGATTGTCTATTCCCAACTTTTTGAGATTTAGGAAATTTAGGTTTATAAAATAAAAGGGAATTATAGACCGTAGGTCCACGGCCAAAAAGTGCAACGATAGTATTACGTATATGCCCTCTGAGATGTTGGTAATTATGCATATGTTCGTCAACATGCAAGCAAAATTACCAAAGCCTCAGAGGGCATACATTATATGCACTTTTTGGCAGTGGGCCTACAATCTATTAGGTGAGAATGCTGACTTACTTCACCGGAAGTGATTGAAAATGATGGAACTTAATTTTGTTTTTGTTCAGCTTATTGCCAGTAACATAATGGCCATGTAAGATAAAATAAATTTTTTAAACAGTCTGTTATTATTTGTGGACAAGTCAAATTTTGAGGTTGCGACTTATTACTGGTCTTAGATTAAGATGTTGCTTGTAGGTCATTCTCACACCGTATCATTTCAGAGGTAGTGCATTGTATTTTTTATTCGATTGTATTGCCTCACATTCACCAATAAAGTTATTGTCTTTTATGTCATACACTTTTATTCATCATCATGATAGGTAGTCTGTAGGCTAGCGATTAGATAGTCAGTACCAGTGTACACAGTACCTATTTGTGCTACTTGATGGTGCCCTGGTCCGCTATGAGATATTATCGGTAAAGATTATTATTTATTAAGGGCCGGTTTATTCACTTTCTGTTAAACTGTCAGGTATGCAACCTGACTGATAAAAACGCAATCTGTAATCCCATTGGTCGGCCAGTTATCCGCCGACCAATAGACTTATAGAACGGTAAATTGATCTTGCAGATAGTAACCAGCAAGTTTATTTGAAAATGAATAAGCCGAGCCTTAATTCAATTATCGGCTACCGATTTGTACAGTTGAAAATTAAATCTATTTTTATTTTTTGTACTTGGCTCTAGTTTTTGGTTCCTATCCCGTCACGTGCCTAGGTCCGACATTACCAATAATGGGCCACTTTCACGTGCCGGGAATATGGCAACAGAATATTTTGCAAGAATTCAGTCAGATTATTAAATAAATTAATAAATAAAAATGAAAAATTTAAACAAAAAATCTCGTGACCGAAAACGCCCTCTCATTGCCGATATTCATGCTTTTGTTGCATTTTGTTTTAAAAAGGCGAAATTTAAATGAGCTCAAATATTATACCTATCCTTTATTTTTTTATAACATAGTGAAGGACGAAAATAGTTGCTGGGTAGTGAGTTATGTAATGATTCACTAATAGGAAGTTTGGCATCCTCGCATTTTTGGGCAAGTGACGTCACTCGCTGTGTCCGCGTTTTCGCAGCAGTTTGAAAATTAGATTTTCATATAGCTTTATTTCTGAAAATAGGCGTTTTTTTTGGAAAGAAGTATGCAGATGTTATTAAAATGACTTAACCGAATAATTTAAAAATGTTTTTGAAAAATGTGAAAGTGGCCTATTGAAGATAGCAGACAAGGGCACTGTTGATAATACAAACACTGTATGCAATGATACTATCTATTCGCTAACCTACAGACTACCCCCTTTATCTTCCCAAAAACACCTTTTAGTAGGGTGCTATTTGTGATAAAATCGCTCTAGAAATAAATTATGTGGGGCTAAGTGTCACAAGTTGAATTGTTCAAACTAATATTTTGGAATAATTGTACAAACTAATATTTTGGAGATTCTGAAACCGAAGGTAATCCAAAATTAGATTATGCAAAAGGGCACTATTTTCAAAAAACTAGATTTTGGTATAGAACGTAACGAGTACTACAATATGACCGACCGCGAAATCCCCTTTAAAATTTACGAAGATATATAATTTCAAAAATTTTAAAAAGCATCGGAGCTTACGGCACGACGACGGCACAACACAACTAAAAATGCGATTTTCTCGGTTTTATCTTGGGAAAAAATATCGAAAAATATTGTACTTTTTATATTCACACCACACTACGATATTAGCTAAACAAGCTTTTCAAACATAAAAAGTTATTGTTTATAAAATGTGTATAGATCATAACAAATCATAACCATATTTTTCGGTCTTGATAATTAACTTATGGCAATCAACTTGTATATAAATGAAAACCACTCGGTAGGTATATCAAAAACCAATTAACTAATATAACTAGAACACGGTTTATCAACAATCAGCAGTTTAAGCAGGTTAACGCATAAACTAATATTTACACGAGATGGATATAGAAACCGATGCAGGCCATGATATCGGCATCCATTCGGATCTTTTCTCAGGATCTCCTAACCCCAGGAAGCATTAGTAATTCCATTTTCATTCACATCTCTCTCCTCAGGGTCTCCTTACCCAACTAGCCGAAGGAAGCAGTAGCTAAACTTCTTTTCAGGGTCGCCTTACCCCAGAGTCTTGCAGCAATTCCCTTCAGGCCATCGCTGCCTATACGGGTGGAGAACAGTTGCACCCCGTGTACAGGTCTGGCAAGTCAACATCTTACGGGCCAATTTTAATGCAATAGAATGAAATGTCTAGAAAAAGTGTAAAAGGAAATAGAAAACGAAAATGATTTCACCTCCAGCATTCTCAGCGCTCCATGCTGGATGTGGAACACGGGAAATCATTTTCGTTCTCTATTTAACCTTAGACTTTTTCTAGACATTTCTTTCCATTGCATTAAAATTGGCCTGTGAGATGTTCACTTGCCAGAACGGTATGTACCCACTAGCAGACAATATACGTTGAGCTCCTTTTTGTAGTTGTGTGTTTTCCTGAAGATCAACCCCTAACCTCAAGTCAAACCCTCACTAGCCGCAAGGCCCTTGTGACACGAGCTCTGTTCCATTAGACGAGAAAGGTTCCAGAACCAGTAATTTCCAATTTCCAGTTGCCCATCTAATTTTCAATAAGTTGAACGTTGATCCTAATTGACAAATGAATTGATCGCCTGGAAATTACCGTTCTGGTTCTCATGTCTGTTGGAACAGAGCTAATATAGAAGGAATCATTTCGCGGCTGCTTTGGGGTGATGTACCGTCGAGTAATCGCGTGTTGCTTTTCCATTACATCATTTTGTCTCTCACAGTAGAACATACTGTTCTTACTGAGTTTGTCATACAATCCTTGGTGGTGTCTAATTTTGTTATGTAGGTACTATGTTTGTTGAAATGGGAAAAAAGACCTGGTGGAAAACATTCATCCAGCATTTCACCTATTTGAAAGGATGTGGATCAGACGAAGATCCACTTAATTATATGTTAAAAAATGTGTAATAAAATTGTATTCGCTAACATCCGATATGTTCTCTCTCAATGTATTAGGAGGTTTAATGGCTCTTTCGACTCGACAGTGATATCGAGGCTAACCACAACAGACGATTTCTTACGCTGCCATGTCTTAAGAGCTTTTTACCAAACCACGATTTGGTTGAACTCTCTGAACTCAAAAATGGAAGTGGCAGCTATTATTACAGACTTTGGATGGGAAATGAACAACATTGGTAATTTGCGACAGTTTTTGAAGGTTTACCAGATAGATATTCGAATAGAATCTAATCTAATTGCCTTATGAAAATATAAAAAAGGTAATGTTCTATGAGATTTAGTTAATCTTAATGCAAAATTGATACGTATGGTATTGGTTTGCGTAGTTGTATTGCTCAAAGATTTTGTAAAAAAAAATCACACTCTAACAACTGTTTTTCCCAGAAAATATCAGCAAGACTCTGATTAGGAGGAGAAAATTAAATAAGAATAAAAGAAGAAAAGCTATGAATATATCGGCTCTTCGAATAAAATTTGATTGAATGAAATAAATAAAAATATTATATTATGCAGGGTGTAAAATTGTGTTAACCAATCACCAATCTGTGACAGATCTCAAAATTTCAAGCAGAAACGTTCATATTACCAATGGTATCAATGGTCCAATCTCGATCGGTAACTCCTTACAGGCGATTCAAAATTAACAGAAATAATTCATTTTCTTCACTCTCTCGCCCCTGGTGGAATCAGATTTTTTTTGACTTCTTTAATTAGTTATCTAACTTTTACATATCTTGCCTTTTCATCATATTTTATTCAATGTTTTCTCAAATTGAAGAAACATTTAACCACTTGTTGTAACCCCGTTACTGATAAAGATCGGGCACTTGTTATGAAAAATTTTGTTTAAAATTATGAAATCTAAACTGTTTCAGTTAGGTCCATACATATTGTGACACCCGGTATAAAATATTAGCAGAACTATAGGTTATTTATTTACAAAAAAAATGATGACCGTGACCGAGATGTGGTAAAAATTTAATAATACGGCTAATCTCGTTGTGCAATAAAGATATATACATAAATGTTTACGGTTATAGGTGCAAGGTGCAATTGATATTGGATATACGAATCAACGAAAAAATATGGTTGATGTTTCGTTATGATCTACACACATTGTTAGTGATTAGCAATTTCCTACATTGTTTACCTATAGCATCATGGTATACACCGTGATTTACGTAGCCCGTGCATTAGAAGTTGTCCACTTTGCAGGTGGAGTAGTAGGAAGAGCATCTAATCCACCCAAGCTTAACCGAAGGGATATGCCCTTATACGCCCGGGCTTACAAAGCTGGTTCTCCAACTTTTAAAATTTAGGCTAGAAAAAATTTATCAGTAGGTGTCGATTCTTCTTCCGAGTTCGGAGTTCCCTGAGTGTTGTTTATTTGGGGTTGCGTTTCTGATTTTTACTCGCTAACGAGTATGAATTTTGTTTTCCCACATTAATTGGCGCTTGTTATGGACCAGCTCTCATCAAATGTTCTCATTCTTTCCCACGTCATATGCATGCCTTCATCTTTGTGTCGTTTGGAATACCACAAGCCTTCATATGTAGGTGTACTTACCCGCAATGCGGTGGCAAAATAGGTTTCCTCTGGATGTTGTTGTTCGTTCAACGATCCCGCAAGTTTATTCTTCTTAGGCATTGCTGGTGGTATTTTTCCAAGCACCTCAGGTGTCGTCTGTAGGTGGTTTAGGTTCCGCATCCGTATAGGTAAGTGTTGGCATGACGATGGCATTTGTTGATCAAGATCTTAGTTTGAACATTTGAGTTATAATTTCCAAACATCCTGTTTGAGAGACCCGCAAAAGCTGCTAGATCATGTCGTAGGTGCATCATAGGAGTTACTTAACAGCCTTTCTAGACCACACGGCGATCACATTCCCGCCGCCTACTTTCCGGTGTATCACTAACAGCTCCCATATTACACAAATGTGCTTTCGTCGCAAATGGAGATCGCCGCGGGGTCTGACTGCTTTGGACTGATGGGGTAATGGTTTATTCTTCAAAAGACGCCCGAGCGTGAAGTTTCCTAATGTGTATATGTTGCTGCACTACAACTACCATACGGTTCTTGCCAGCTTTACAATCTTGGCAAAGTGGCATATAAACTACGACGGGACGAATAGCGATCCATATTTCTACTCGCGTCCCTTCGCATATATTGATTTTGATAGGAAAGGAGAAGACAGCAAGTGCCATAGCGAAGGGAATAAGATCTCTATCCGTTACAGAGTTTTAGCCCTGAAGGACTTAAACAATTTTGTGGACATAAAATCAGCCGCTCCTAAATTTGGAGCAGACGTGTACGCTTTGGGATAGACCCTAACATACGATCGGACGGGACGCTTCCTCATTACAGAGGTTATTATTGCCTATTTCCATAGCCTGTAACCTCTGTAGGCTTCCGCAAGTTGAGTACCACCAAAATTTCACACAAACAAAGAGATTTTGCCTCTAATTTTTTCACAATTCTATTATACCGATCTTTATTGCATTTGCATGCGCCTTGTGCACTATTGAAATGACTGACCCAGCCCAGCCTACCTACCACATCTTTAATAAAGATAGGTACCTACCTCAGTTCAGATACTTCGCCTACCAACCAGATGCTCAAACATGACCTTGCAAAAACGAATACACTTTTTCGACAAAAGAGTAAACACAAGACTTCCTAACAATACATCCTAGGTCAAAGCAATGGCATCTATTCGATTATATAATTGTAGTTCTAGAGACCGAGATGACGTATGCATTACGAGAGCTCTAACAAGTGCGGATGACTGCTGGACTGACCATCGGCTGATACGAGCCAGAATGAACATGCGCATCTCACCAAAGCGTAAATATAAAAAAAGCAGTTCAGACGAAAATTTAACATAGAACGCCTTCAAGACGATCAGGATGAAGTTCCAAGCCTCTCTAAGCCAGAAACTTCCGTTAGAGTACTCGGAAAGCATTGGAGAGGACTGGAAAATACTGAATAAGACCGCAGTAAGATCTGCGTCGGAAGTAAGGGTCGGCTTCGGCTACAAACAAAAGAAGCATCAAAACTGGTTTGATGAGAACGACACGGGAATCCAAGACCTCATAGGAAGAAAAACAAAAGTGCATGGAAAAGCCAACCCAGCTCGACTGTAAAAAAAAGGCAATACCAGCAAAAGCAGAAGTTCAAAGGCAAATGCGGCCATTAAAGGAACCAATGGTGAATAAGAAAATCAAACAAAATGCAGCAACTAGCTGAATCCAACAGCATCAGGGCCTTCTTTCAGGCTACTAAGATGGTATACGGACTCAATCCCCTACGATCCAAAGATGGCACAAGACTGCTTAAAGACAGTTTCTCCATGAATTCTCGTTGGAAGGAGCATTTTTAGGAACTACTCAACAGAGAATCACAAATTAATAATGATATCTTTAACGAAATTCCACAGAAACCAGTACAACAAAACAGAGACTCTTTGATCTCTACCAACTCGAGACGGCAAAAGTCTCCGAATTTGGGAACAGAAGAAAAGGAGACACAAGCATATGTCGCAGAAATATATTGCATTTGTCGCCACTTTGGCGCGAAACATGAATGTCTCTGTCTTGTCGTTATTTTTTCTGCTTGGTCTGGACCCGGCAATAGACGAGCTAATTGTCCTAGAATGACTATGGCAATAATGACATGAACTTTTGTTAAATACTAGGGGAATAGTTATTTGCTTTTGTTCCAACCGACATGAGAACCGTTCTAGAACGGTAATTTCCTAGTCGAAAAATAGGTGAGCTACTGGAAATTACCGTTCTAGAACGGTTCTCATGTCGATAAGCACAGAGTCTATGTCATAAAAACAACGAAATGCGCTTTGTTTTGTTGTCATGGATGAAAACCTCAACAATCTGCACTGCATGAAACTTCGATATAGTTTTAGTTTCCGCATACCCTAGAATAGGGTGAATAAAGTTGGAAACTTTCTTTGGAAGGATCTGACCAAATGAACACCGGGGTACCTACCTAGTTTTAGTTTCCTTTTGATGATAACATATTGACAATTATTAAGCAAAGTCCAAAAAAGCAAATTTTGACAACCCATAACTCTAAAACTGGCCATAGAATTGAGTTGTGTCCATGAGAATTTTTAATCAGGATAGGTATCTGCTCAAAGAAAATTTCTATAAAATTGAGCCGAAAGCCCATTTTCCATAAGAAATATGCAGAATCCTAAAAGAGTTCTACCTGACGTCCAGATACCTATGTGGTCGCTGAAATAAAACGCTATGAATTTCTGAATTTGTCTTATTACCTTTATTCTTTATGATGAACTATGAATTAATGAACTTATGTAGGTACCTATATTTATCAAGGTATTGAATTTATCTTATGACCTTATGTAGGTATTTATCGTATGCCCTTCCGAATCTATGTGGTATACTGTATTGTTTTGTATTCTATTAGACCTAGGACGCGCTAATTGTCAGAATGGTCGAGCTGTTAACATTTTAATTATTTCGGATTCAAACTTTCCGCCTAATTAGTTAGGATAAGGATTGGTCAAGAAAAATGACGTATCGGTGGGAGTAGTGGTGTACAAAAGAAAGACAACAGGGGTGGGTTGAAATTTAGTGTGAAATAAAAATCTTATTGCAAACATCGACCCAACCGATCAATTATAACACCCAGATATACAGGGTGTTAATAAATAGTGGGATCAAACTCTTAGGATAAATAGTACTCATTAAAATTTAAAAAAAGTTGATAGAAACATATAGGTCCGCAAGTACTTAGTTTTCGAGATACAGGGTGTCAAAGCTTGAAAAAATCGTTTTTTTAACATCTGCCTCCCGAATTTCTGTAAACTTGGTAGATTTGTTTGTAATAATAACACAAGGTATCTTTTGATTCAATTGGATTTACCGTAATTAGTACAGTGGCGCCCCAGAGGACAACTACGTTGGTAAAAGTAGAAAAAAATGGCATGTCACTATTTCTTCATAACTGATATTTTTGCAGATTAGGTCATATTACAGTCAAAATTCAAAAGATACCTTTTGTTATCACAAGCAAACCTGCCAAATTTGAAAAAGAAAATTGGGAAAGGGATTTTTGAGCTAAAAACCCGATTTTATTTCAAACTTTGACACCCTGTATCTTGAAAACTGAGCATTCGCGGACCCATGTTTCTATTTACATTTTTCTTATTTTAATGAGTACTATTTTATCCTCGAAGTTTGATCCCACTATTTATTAACACCCTGTATAATTTTGCATTTCCTTCAGAGTTGCTTAATAATAAATAACATATTAGGTCTGTTCCAAACACGTCAAAACCCGTTCCCAGGAACGGTTCCGAAACCACTCTATAGGATATTTCTACGCACACATTTTTGGTTTGGCGCAGAATCGTGACGGTACATTTTGTACGGTTTCCTGCTGTACTGTAATCTGTAATGGACCAAAGCTCATGTCATTCTCTATACCCATGGCTTGGCTAGACTTTTTCAGCTCCTTTCCTGAAAAAGAAAACACTTGAATATGCAATATAATAATAATTAGATAAAAAATTACGATGAGCCCCAGAACAAAAATCTTTGCCCAAAGGTACCGCCCCAAAGAAGGAAAGTGTCCGCACTGTCCGCCTATTAGAAAAAAAAGGTTCTTGCATCGATTGTGGTTGCGCGATTGACCCGAGCGTAGAGGCAGATTACCAACCGGTGAAGACCCAGAACAGAAACGACACTGACGAACGAAAATGGAAGTTTGACAACAGCGAAAACAGGGCCATTGATTAGTGCACCCGACTCACGAATACGAGAACAGCGGAAAGAGAAACGATTGAAACGAACGAAACTACGGAATGCTTATCTTTTGGTTTTGGTCAATGGTCTGTTGTGCTGTCTCAGTCTAGTGTAGTGCCATATTATTGTTATATCGTTTATTATTGTTTAAAAAACAGTTTTTTGAAGAACTATTACAAAAGTTCATTAGTGATGCATTTCAGGGTATATACGGCATTGTGTTGTGCACTTTTAATAGCCCTTACGTCAGCTGCTCAGGTAACAATTTTCATTTATTCTATGTAGGTACCTTTCCTTCCATTCAACATCAAATGTTCATCCTTCTTGGGGATCATAGAATAACCTCCTACTACCTGACTTTTATTATTGAAATTGCACACTAACATAAATATTTTATACAATTTCTTGATAGTTTTTAAGTTTGCATTAAAAGGTGTCTCCCAATGCGTAGGTAGGTAGGTAGGTATTATTTTTCTCGTCGTTTTAATCATATAGGTCGAGAGACATTAAGTTCTGGCGATAATAAAACAGAATTTAATTTCAAGGAATTTTCGTTTGTTTAGAGGAAGGAGTATCTACTTCATGTAAACAAATTGCCTCATACAAATTAAACTGAAATAAATCATGCAAACTTTTGATAAGAAATAGGATATTTTTGACAATTCAATGTTATTTTATTTAAAATCCAGGCTAATATCGTTTGATGTATGCACGCATTTCCTATATTTATTTGCAGATGTCATGATACCTAACTTTGGAATTTCTAATAGTCACCAGCTGTAGGTTTACTTATTAATAATCGAATACATAATATTGTTATTATACCAGTGGAAATGAATCATGCAATTTGAAATGTTATTACTTATCATGAGATTTTCAATTTTCCTTACATTTAAGTTTATTTTTAAGAGCCGATAGGGCAAAAATTGAGGAAAAATTATTTAAAAAAACCCAAAGGTCCGAGTTAAAACCGCAGTAATTTGAAGTGATGAAAATCGGAAAAACCTAATAAAATTAAAAACTTGTGTATTTCCTTTTGTTGAAGTTTTCGAGAAAATCAAAAAAAAGCAAGGGACTGCTGCTAAGTTCATGAAAGCTAGCAGTCCCCTATAGTATTTTTTTATTTTTATTTTGTATCAGAATTAGGCCAGGAATTATAGATGCTTTTTAGGTGCTCCTAAATAGTTGAAGAAAAAATCGAATCAACTAATTATTAACTTGATTATCAACTACTGAATTACAGATATTTTTTCATTATTTGGGGATTGCTGGCTTCACGTTTACTTGGTGGTGTGTCAGAAGCTAAAATGTTGCTGGATAGGAATTAGGTGCTATTTAAGTTCTCCTAAATAGTCAAAGAAAAACTTGAATCAGTTAATCATTAACTGAATTACAGATTTTTTTCATTATTAGGGGATTGTTGGCCTCACATTTACCATTCACCTACCCGGTGGTGTGTCAGAAGCTAAATTATTTCTGGATAGGAATTAGGTGCAATTCCCTAATTATGAAAAAAAATCTGTTATTCAGTTAAAAATTAACTGATTCAATTTTTTTCTTTATCGTTTAGGACCATAAAGTCATGTGACCAGTGTTGTTCACAATGGTTTCACAATCACTTTATATATGCCTGGATTTGAGCTATCGACTGCAATGAAATAGACTATATATAGAAACACTTAAATCAGAGGTGAGGTGATCTCATTGAAAAGTACTAACGGGTTATTTCAGCCTAAAAATCGATCTGGCACTCTTCCAAAGGACCCCGCACACTTCTTATGGGATTTTGGTTGAACGCGGAATTTAACCAAATTTTGGTATGTTGTATATTTCGACCTCCTGAGTAAAAGTTCTCATGGGTACAAACCGATCCTATGACTATTTTCGGATATACAGGGGGTTTTCTAATACTACCTCAGGCAACCTAAGTACCTATATAAAGTGGACATAAAGCAAAAAAACTTGCATGTATTGCTTTAAAAGTTGTTTATTTCATCTTCCCTTAACTAAAAATGTTTAGTAGGTGTTCGTAACTCTTCCTTTATATACCAGGGAAGCTCAAAAACTATGGCTATTACTAAGCTAAATGAGTTAATGACCAAAAATGTTCAAAAGTGTGAAAAATTGTGTACTTGTAGGTACTCAGATACCTACGTTTTGTGATAAAAGTGATTTTTTATCTCAATGAATTCCAGTTCCTGCTACGCTTGTACTAAAAACTTTTTGCCTCATGATCCCTTGGCCTAGGGTTTAGGTATTTAGATATTAGGTATACATTCACTTGGTGATTTGTTTGAAAAATCTAAACAGCCATGGAAAGAAAAGCAATGAAAATTGTTTTTTCATGTGTCATATTTCACTTGGTAACCATGGTAACCAAAACTAGTGACCCTGTCAAAAAAGCGAATTGTCTTTTTTGTCACCTTTGTTGTGAAAATGGCCGTTTGGGAAAGGTAATGTGCTAAGTGTGCAATGGAGGAGTAGAGTAAGAGTAAATTATTCGTAGAGGTAGAAACCATAATTAAGTTACTCTCAGTAAAAGTAAAATATAGCTTTAAGTAATAATGTAATATCTGGTAATTGAAATTATATGACTCCTATTTAAATGCAGTACCGTTTCGAAGTGACGATACTTGTTCTCTCTATTTTTTATTTTTTTTTTCTCTGAAATCGAAGAAAACTTTTTTTTTTCCTTTCTTTTTTTTCTAATGCTTTAATCTCACCCCTCCTTTCTTACTACTTTTTCAGTCCTCACTCTTCTTCGTCTTCATCTCTAAGGTATAAATGTTAAGCTTTGCACATCTTAATGTTAGATCATTACTCAACAACTTTGATCTATTTAAAGATCATATCACTACTAATAAATACAGTTTAATTGGAATCTCTGAAAGTTGGTTGAATCCTAATATATCTGATCAGGATGTTTCTGTTGAAAACTATAATTTTGTAAGACGCGATCGTTTAGGGCGCGGTGGAGGCGTCGGTCTTTACATAAGAAATGATTTAGATTATTCTTTAGTTCTAAGTGAGTGTAGAGAGTTTGTTGAGCATGTGTGGGTTAAACTGAAGTACAATAATGAAGTTATTGTTGTGGGAAATCTCTATAGACCCCCTCAGGGTAGCCGTGTAGAGTTTCTTACCTATTTTGAGGATATTTTAATAAATTTCTTTGCAAACTCAGATAAAATTATATGTTTTGGAGACTTTAACATAAACATGCTAGACATTGATTCCGGATATGTAAGTCAACCTAATAATATTTTAGAAACATTTGGTTTAAATCAGTTAATTTCTGAACCAACTAGGATTTCGAATATAAGTGAAACACTAATCGACTTGATTTGTTACAACTCGGATAATATTCAGGATGTAGGAGTAATTGATGTTGGCATATCCGATCATCTTCTTGTATATTGCTGTCTCCAGTTTTTGATGTTAGAGCCTGAAAAAATCGTTTATACATATCGACCTTTAAATCAAATTAACTTAATCAGATTTCAGGCAGATTTGGAAAGTGCTGATTGGAATATTTTATATGAGATAGAATCTATAGATCAAAAGGTATTATATTTAACTGACACTATATTGCACATTTTCGATATTCATGCACCCTCAAAAGTTTACAGAGGAAAAAAAAGACCCTACTGTCCATGGATAACTGACAACATAAAATACATGAAAAAACTCAGAAATCAAGCTTTAAACCGTTTTCGAAGGACTAAAAACCAAGAACACTGGAATTATTATAAGCAATTGAGAAATTATACAACATCGGCTATTAGATCTGAAAAAAAAGCTTACCTAAATTTTAAACTTCAAACTTGCAGCACAAAGGGAAAATGGAATGAACTTAAAAAACTTAATATCATAACAAATAAAAAAAGTAACACCATACCAAGTAATCTGACAAATTTAGACCAACTTAATAAGTATTTTACGCAAATAACAAATAGCAATGATATACCTAACCAAGAACTCATAAACTTTTATAAAAATAATTTATTGGTCAATGAAACTTTTTTTTTTCAGCCAGTTAGCGAATATTTGATTTCCAAAATTCTCCTTAAACTCAAATCTAAAGCTCTAGGATCGGATAATCTCAATATAACGCTGATTACTTTGTGTTGTCCATTTATAATTCCATTTATAACACACATTATAAATTGCTGCCTAAGTGAATCACACTTTCCCCAATCTTGGAAGTCCGCCAATGTAATTCCTCTCCCCAAAATTAAAAATCCTACCGAGTTTGGTCATTTACGATCAATTTCTATTTTACCCACTCTCTCAAAAATCCTTGAAAAAGTTATGGAACTTCAGATAAATACATTCCTCAACAACAATAACATAATACCCAGCAAACAATCCGGCTTTAGAGCGGGCTATAGCTGCTCAACAGCTTTGTCTGATTTAACTGATGATATAGTGCGGGCGCAGGACAACAGCAATGCTAGTGTGCTCATTTTATTAGACTATACAAAAGCATTTGATATGCTTCACCATGAAATTCTTCTGTCGATTTTAAAATACGTAGGCTTCAGTAAGTCGGCGTCTCTACTTGTGTCTTCATTCCTTTCAAAGAGATCTCAAAGAGTTACTCTTGACGGACAATATTCGGAATCTCTTAATGTCTTTGCGGGAGTGCCTCAGGTTAGTATTTTAGGTCCTCTTCTGTATAGTATATTCACCTCTAACTTTATAAAATCATTAAAATTTTGTCAATACCACTTATACGCAGACGATACGCAAATCTATTTATCTTTCAAACCTTCAGAAGTAGCTGCAGCCAATAAGCTGATCAATGAAGATCTGAAATCGTTGCTTGATGAATCAAATAAACATTTGCTTAAAATAAATCCTAACAAATCGGTAGCTCTCCTGTTTTGTAATGAAAATATTAGAAATGATCTTTTAGGCAATATTGAACTAAATCTAGGACAAGACACGATATCATTTAAAAATTCGGCTAAAAACTTGGGACTTGTCATGGATAGCAAACTCAAATTTAAAGAACACATAACACTTTGCTTAAAAAGAGCATATTCAGTTTTGAGGGGTTTATACTCTCATAGACACTATCTTTGTCAAAGAACTAAAACTTTGCTTTGCGACTCTTTAATTCTCTCGCATTTTAATTTTTGCGATCACCTATATGGGCCTTTTTTGGATTCGATAGATGTTAGGAGAGTCCAAAAGGTTCAGAACTCTTGCATTAGGTTTGCGTGTGGAATAAGACGAAGAGACCGAGTTTCACACAA